GAAAGAAGGACAAACAAACAAACAAACACACTTTTGCATTGATAATATTAGTATGAATTTTTATTTTAATGACATTTCGACTTGTTTAAAATTTAATTTATGTTTTTACAATTATGTTTTTATCTTTACTAGTTTTTAAATGATATATTGCTCTTGACATAGTTAAGTGTAATGCATTGATAAAGTTTTATTATTGTTGTTGTTAACAATACAAATAAGTTAATCAATTTTATAATAACTTCATTATAATAATACATACATTTTAATATAAATAAATTAAAGTTCTTCACAACATAAGTTAATGTAGGAGACTTTCCAAGAATGCTGTTTGTGCCTATAATTGAAGTAGCACTTTATATGCTTCTTTTTTTGTTTTTCTGATATTTTTGTATGTAATAGTGTGTACTTTGTTAGTGAAATAAATAATAAATAAATAAAAAAGCACCTGAAACATCGTGAATTAAAAATCACTTAAATTAAATGCGATAAAATCTGTAAAAGTAATTTTAATCAATGTGTGGTGTTCCCGTAAATATAAGAAATCTTTATCCACTGCTGAAGATAAGCCACCCCCAAAGATTGCCTCATATGGAAGATATTTATCACTGCAGTTTTTTATTGCAACTGCAGTTCTTTAACTTAAGTCATTTTTAGGAAGACACTACTGAGCATCTCCAGATTAGTTTCCTTCTGTCCCCTCTAAGCAGGAACTTATAATAAGAGAATGAATAGAATTATAATTTTTTAGACACTTACCATCTTGAAAAACTGGCTCCCATTGCTCCATGGGCCCTACAGCGTCAGATCTGCCAATGACGACTCCATCCTTAGAAACTCCTAGATATTTGCCATAACCAGATTTGAGTGCAAATTTGTTCTCTCCTGCAGGAAAAGCAGTAAATATCTCTTCTGGGGAGGGCCCATCTCCCTCGTCGTGTGGTGCACCAATTGTGAACAATCCTAGTTAAGAATAATATATGTATAGAATTCATTAAAAATCAGATTTTGTGTTTTTCTGTCAAGAAATTCTTAGTACCAGCCCGGATTTAAGGGCCAGAGAATTTGTTGGTGTATCATCCCACTGCCTTAGATATCACATAAAGTGGTTGGTTTCCATGTTGTCCATTCCAATCATCGAGCATTTAACCTGAATAGAGTAGTAATGTCAGCCATCCAATTCCGAAACTGATCAGTGATTTGTCACTGATAAATGGCAATTCACGCTTGCCCTAAAACAGTACCTCACCAACATGTGATCTGTGTGTACGTCCCCCGATACTCCCGAAAATATTCAGTTTGGTATATTAAACCCCATAATGTCGTGTTGTTCTATTCGGTGGTGTGGAAAAAACAGCAAGACATCGAATTATAAAACATACGGAATCACGTTTCATCGGTAAGTATCAATAAACTTTGATTTTGTTTCAATTTACATCCATATAATACGGCTCAAGTTAAACTGGCCATTAGTATGAATCACTTGGACACTTGTCTATGCGTCTTGCTCTTACCTAGGTGTAACCAATATAAGCCATCTCATTTTATTTATTACGTGTTTACTAGTGCTTGAATCGGCCAATCAGAGCGCAGCGACCGGCGCAGCGTTTTGGCGGAATTTGTTTTCTTACAAAACAAATAACAATACCGCTCTATTTCAGGTTAAATGCTCGATGATTCCAATGGACTATGTGAGACTTCACCTGTGCTTGCGCATTTTGGCACAACTGGCCACCATGACCAAAATTCAGTCAGTAAAGGATATATGTGTGAAAAATTGTCACTTTAAATTGCAATTAACCAACTCAAAAAGATATAAAAACCATAATTACAGACAATACTTTTATGCTATATTCTGTGCTTTCATATTTACACTTTTAACTGGGGTGCAGGTTGGCCGATGGCCACCTCTCCCACTACCGCCGACCACGTCGCACGATTTTTACTCAGTAGGACTAACAATCGGTTCAACACATGTCATCATGACCCTATTGGCTGACCATCTTCCAGCTGAGTAGGTGCCTCTGTATTCATAGTGAGTAACCAAGCCACAAGTAATAAGCCAACCCAACTACATCAAGGAGGGAATCCATTCTCGTTCAAAGTCAAATCATTTCAATTATTCAAAAAAAAACAGTTCAAATCATTCAAAGAAGGGAGGGGAGACACATCCTTCCCTAACTATATCCAATGCAATGAGTTTGATGCTTGGTTGGAATGAAGAGAAAGGAACTTTGGTAAGCCATCTAGACCAAATTTTCAACAATTTGTGCTACCACACAAATTTCAACAGAGGTTGAAAATAAATAGCATGATAAAGAATAAAACACATAGAAAATTGTTTACAAACCATTATCTAATGCAGATACATATGTGTTTTTGCCAAACTCAATAGATATTGATCCAGTTATATCTTCAATCTTGCCTGCCCTCCACCAACCTCCATGTTTCACACAATCCTCATCAACATTGGACTCATTACTTTTGTCTTTCTTCTTGTGTTTCCTCTTTTTTGCTCTGAAACAAATATATAATTTTCTAAAGGATGCCACCTATCTAGATAAACTTTTGATAAATCAATTAAATATGTAATAATCCTCCACCCTCCTCATCATATTACATTAAAACATGTAATATTAATAATATTGATTATTAAATCATCAGATTTCATCTTAAATATTATTTTTATTAGTATTTAAGCTATTTTTCCAGATAACTTATATTAATTTTTATAATTTAATATTTTGCCATAGTTGCCATGCTAGGCAGAAATTGACAACCACAGTATTTTTTATATTTTCAGTTTATCAGGAAGAAGCTGCTGCCTAACTCCTGTTTAGTTTCCTTATGAATCTTCTTATGATATGGGGTAGTGGATTCCCTTACACTAATGCTATGTGGCAAAATGGGTCACTCTATGTTACAAATTATCTCGACAGCTGTTTACAGAAGCTGAAAAATAGCTGTTTGGGTGTGAAATTGGGTGACATTAAAGTAAATTTTCTGCTATATGCTGATGATGCAGTGCTTTTTGCACCATCAGAAGCAGAACTGCCGGCATTAGTCACGTGTATGAAAGAGGAATGTGAAATTAAAGGTCTCCGTTTGAATGCTAATAAAACTAAGGTTCTGGTATTTGAAAAGGACAAAGAGAGAACGAAATGTGAAATATGGGTAAATCAGGAATGTTTAGTACAGGTAAATGAAATTGTATACTTGGGAAGCGCTTTCAGCCGGGATGGAAGATGTGATTTAGATGTGGATAGGCGTGTCGCTGCCAGAAACAAAGTCAATGGTGCCCTGAATGCATTAGTCAAAAGGCAAGGCGTGGTGAAGAGTGCACGCCTTGCAATACATAATGCAGTGTTGGTACCAACTTTGTTATATGGCAGCGAAACCTGGGTATGCCAGAAGAAGCATAAAAGCAAGTTGAATGCAGTGGAGATGCGATCTCTTCGCAAAATGTGTGGCGTTACCATAGCCGAACGAAAGCGAAACGAAGAGATTCGCAATATGGCAGGATTGAAAGATGACCTTATCACAAAAATTGATAGGGGCGTACTCCAATGGTTTGGGCACGTTGAGAATAGTGAAGACCGAATGGTGAAGAAAATATATAGAGCGAAAGTAAATATTAAAAGGTGTCGAGGTAGACCGAGACTAACTTTCGAAGACCATGTGAGCAAATTGCTCAAAGAGGGGAAGGTCAAGAGTACTCGGATACCTAGATGTGCATGTATGAAGAAGATAATGAACCTGAAAGAAGCGAAAGAGGTATGTAAGGATCGTGACACTTGGCGATCTGTTCTCTCTGGCTACCCCGTTAGGGATTGTGCGTGAAGATAAGTAAGTAAGTAAGTATGTTACAAAGATACACATTAGTTTCAGAGAAATTAATTACACTTTTTAATAGTTTTAAAACTTAACAAAGAATGTATATTGTAAAATGGTGTATCTATATTACAAAATAAAATACACAAACATACTGTAGTTTAATGTTATTAATGGATATGAACTCAAATAGTTTGCACAGATGAGATGCAAACTTAATACATTTCGTAACTTTTTATTTTTTTATAAAATGTTACCTCCACACCAGGATTTTCTCCTTATCGTGGTGGCAGTATACATACATAAATTTCACAACTACAAGCACCCAGGCTCAGAACAATTCTTTGTAAGCCATACAAATACTTGTTGTGAGATGCGGGATTCGAACCTGCAGTGCCTTAGCGCTACAGCCACTGCGCCATGTAGCCCTAAATATAATAAAAATCTAAGATTAATAGGACGAGGGATGTTATAAGAAAGGGGTTTATATAATGAACATGTGAGTTTAGGACAGTTAACATTATATGGTCGATTGCATTTTCATCTAGTCCGCACTCACAAAATAAATTACAGTTAAAAAAAAATATGTCTTGATCTAATTATACATATTATAACTGATGTGTAACTCTGTTTAGAACCATTTACTAATAAAGACAGATTTTGAAGGGGTGTCAGAGTGGATTTGTGCATAAAATTTTGCTACAGACATGATTTTCTTTCCAAAAAGAATTCCAATCTCGCATGTGATGGATTCTCGAAAAGCAAAAAAGGTCATAAGTTTATGTTATAATAACCTGAGGTTTTAACTAACTTTGGTTTATCTCCTTTTAATATCAATTTTCCTCGTTTCACAGCCGCGTATTCATCACCCATAATTTCGTACAAATAAGAACTCTTATTTTAATTTTTTTAACACTTCTAACTTAAGGTTTGTTTGTAAGTTTATAATGGTTTTTGTTTGTAAATGTAAAATTAAATACACTTATACTCATTGTTTAAACATAACACTATAATAATATTTTTTTTTACATAGATTAGTAATTACCGAGCCAAAGCGTTGCCACTGCACATGTGGCACATGTGGCTACAGTCATATGCCTAGCTATAGCTAACGTCAGTTGAGTGTTAAGTGTGACGCTGACAGAGTTGAGCCCAACGATCCGCGACAAAAAATGGGTAAATGCGTGGTGAAAGAATGCGAATCAAGATCACAAAAACATAACAAATCAAGCGGAATCACTTTTCACACGTAAGTTTTTGTTCATTTTTTTCATATAAAGGTAAAAACCTCAAAAAAATTAAATAAAACACCAAATTTGCAATTTAGGTTCAATGTTGCCACTTTTCCGCCTTTATGATTTTCCCACATTAGTGGGAGACTACATAGTTTATGGAATAAGTTAATTTGTTACCTCTAATTTTAAATATTTTGGAAATTGTAACAAAAACTACGTTATCCCTTCTACGTTTAACCTTCATACAAAATAATTAATTATTCTTATTTTAATTTATTCATGAATGATCTATTAATAATTTTTATTGCCTATTTTATATTAATAATTTTGTAGGTTACCAAAAGATGCAACACGCCGTAAGAAGTGGGTGGAAATAATACGACTACTGAGAAAGGAGACTGATTGGGTGCCTTCTAAATCTACTATCATTTGTTCTAAGCATTTCCGGGATGAAGACAAACTAGGACCAAAAAGCGATTGTGGCCGTGTTTATTTGTCTAACGAAGCAAATCCAATGCTTGTTGTAAGTAAAGATTTAATACGGTTGTTAATGAATGTTGTGACAACTTTGATAATATTGGTCTAAAAATATCTTTCCATAAAACTCCCATAGGAAAGTGTAATGCAAACTAAATTTTGTACTACTATTGTTATTTAATGATTTCTTATATTTACGCGAACACTACACATTTAATATTTTAAAGAAAATAAATAAAACGCAATAAAATCCGTAAAAGTAATTTTAAACAATATTATTGTTACTATTAACTCATTTATTTCGGATTAAATTAAACTATGATGAATAGTTTTTTTTAATCTCACTAATCAAGTTTTATAGTGCTCTTTTGACTACTATAATTAAAGGACATTTTTCAGGATGAACTACTCTTCGAAAAGCCAGTGGACCTTTTAGTAGAAGAAAATATGGATGATGATGTTGTGGAAACCGATGAAGAGATAGATGAAATAACTGAATCACCGCAAAAGCATAAAATGAGAAAAACAATTCAACGTTTAAAAAGTGTATCCACACGGAGACTAAAAAAGATAAAAAATATGGCACAGAAAATTAAAAGACTAAAAACAAAAAATAAAAAATTAAAAGACGTTATCGAAGAAATGAAACAAAAAATGTATGTTAAGTGAAAAAGAAGAGATGCAGCTAAATTTGAACGGGGAAAAGAGAATGCAATTGATGGAAGAATTTAAAAAATGCTGTTTGAAGGATTTTTTAAATTCTTCTATCGATTGAAAGGGCTTTTAATAAATTTCCTTATGTGCTAAAGAAATTTGCATTAACTTTAAACTTTTACTCCCCTGCTGCGTATAAATATGTTCGATCCGCATATAGCAACGCATTACCGCATCCAAGAACATTAGTTAATTGTTATATCGAAATTAACGGGGATCCTGTATTTACGTCGGAGGCTTTTTATGTTCTTAAGGTCTAAAGTGATAATTCTAAGTCCAAGATTATTTGTTGAGCTGCTTTTAAGCTGGCTATCCGTCAACAAAAAAATTTCGATGGAAAAAAGCATGTCGAGACAAAATCTAGCATCCTTTGCATTAGTTTTACTTCTCGTATGTTTGAATCAAACATTTAAAATATCTATTGGATATTTTTTTACTTATGGGTTATCTTCAGTCATCGTTTTGCATCGCTTGTGATCGTACTTACTTAACCGCCACAAAATTTCAACCGCGGCAGTTGAATGGAGAGCAGCGACCCGCTTCGCGGCTGGCTTTAGTTTGCGACGAGCTGCCAATGTGTTTATATGCGTTCGGAGTTTGAGTTGCGCAGCCACGAACTTCGGCGAAGAGAAATTCATTATTGAAATTAAACAACGATAAGCTATTTGGAATTGTGAAGGAGCATCATATAAGAATAGAGATTTAAAACGGAAACAATGGGAAGAGTTAGTAGATATTTTAAAAAAGAAGAGATGACAGCAGAGGAAAAGAAGTCTTGGTAAGTATTCATTATTATAGCACATTTTTAAACGAAACTACACCTATTTTGTACATCGTACAAAATAATATTAGGAAAGTCTATTTTCAGTTAAGTCATATTTCTTTGCCATTCTAATTTTCCATAAATCAGAAAATAAATAAATAAATATTCTCTGTACCAACGCAGTTCTATCGTTCCTTCTTAGGCTTTACTACGTTACATTTTCTGGCAAAGGGCAAACGGAGTGAGTCGTCGAATCAATAAACATCACAGTCTCTCACAAAATTATCTAGGATACGAATAGCTTTCATGATATCTTTTGCTAGAGCGAAGTGACCATTTAGAGGTCTATGAAATATACGCCACTTGTTTGCATGAATTCCAAAACTGCATTCTACATATTTTCTTACTTTAGAAAGCCTGTAATTGAACGTTCCTTTGGTTTTATCTAAATCTTTTTTTGCGGATGGGCGCTTCAAATTCTTAAATAACCCGAATACCTCGCCGCCTACAAACACGTATGGAATACACATCCGACTGCTTTGTGAAATGTGTGATTCTTTCATAAAAAAGAAGAAGATATTGACGAGTCCAGTGGCTAAGCTAGGGCTCCAAACTAGCGCAAGCCCAAGGTATTGTTTCGTTGTTTTAGCAGTTTTATAAAAATACACCAATCTTGATCTGTCTCCACTCTTTAGTTTCATATTCAGTGCTATTAAGGACGTGTTTAACAAAGCACACGGAAGGCATACTACTGCTAGATAGATTTTATGACATATCAGCAATTGCATAACTTTGGTGGCTTTGAAAACAGCTGTTTGGTTTTGCTTGAGCGAAAGAAAAAGATATTTACATACAATACAATACATGAACAAAAAAATGTATGAACAAAGTACAAACAAACTATGTACAAAATTAAAAAAAAATTATTTATATTATAAATCGAATCGTCTAGTATAAGATACCCTATTTATTTATTTATTTAACTTCATATATCATTAGATGTATATAGGCGGACTTAATGTCTGAGGTATTATCAACCAGTCTACCTTAGAGTAGTGCAGAGATAAAAGAGGTAGGTGTAATAAGAAGTATGTACAATATATATAAACTCATACATATATAAGCGTATAAATATATACATATATAAACATTATCTAAGTATATATACATAAAATTATATGTATATATATATATATATATATATATATATATATAAATATATATACATACACACACATATATATATATAATAAATATAATATTAGGAAAGATTTGATTACGTCCGCGTAAAATGTTACCAATAACTGTTTTTTAATTGCGATAATTCTCAATGTACACTGATCCTGAATAGCAGATCCCAAGGCGCTGCCTCTCTCCAAATGTGGGATCCATCAAAGGGGGCGTTTACCAATGGAAAACTTCCACTTCAAATTTTACTATATTAGTTTATCAACTTTATTATCCAGTTAATCAACTTCAAGTTCAACAAAGTCAACGTTAATCGACATTAAAACAAGTGACACGCTGCACAACTTAAGGACGGTTGGTCAAAGTTCAAAGTCCCAGGTTCACTTAGCACAAAACTACTAACTCGTCGATGCAATTAACGGCATAAAAGTTCCTTTAATCACTCGAAACTCCAAGTACGCCTCTTGTCACGTAACACGTTAAAAACAGACAACTAAATTCGAGGCGGTCTAGACGAGATATTCAATAGTAAATTCAAAATGCCGCGCACAATTAAACCAAGCTCTCGGCCTTTCAAGTTCAAACAACGAGCGCGCGCAACCGTATATCAGTCACAAACAATACTTAAAACGGTTACAACAAAATTATATAATATGGCCTCGTTATCACGAAAAACAAATTAAGATAACACTCTCTCGCTACGTATAATCGACCCGGGATTCGCGCAAATAAGCTCAAGAATAAGCCTCGTCGTCCCGCATATTAACGACACATATAACTCCATGGAGGCCGTCCTTTCTACGCAAAATCATATCAAACTCGCGACCCCTAAATCGACCCGGTAGATTATGTAACGCCCGACGTTTAACTGGCCCGGGCTTCGCGCCCAAAGGTTTCCTGCCGACTGCTACGCTTGCTCTGCGCGTACGCCACATCAAACCTCCGCCTCCCGCGCAACGCTAACCGTTTCCTCACCCCGTTCAAGGCAATCGGGTGCAAACACTCAACGACTCAAAGTTTAAAGATATTACGTTTTCCTCGCCGATTATCACTTTAACACACTTCAATTCATCACAAGGAACACTATTATCCTCTATTTTCACTAAAATTTTTCAAAAAAGCATAAATTTTAAAATACATCAAAAATACACAGAGTAAACATTGAAATGTGAAGTGAACTTGCAAACGTATCGCCCGCGCGCCCCTGCGCTCGACTATTTCACACCGAAACCCTGGCTTTTTCGCTCTATACTAATTGCTATATAAATAATCGTAGTTATATTTCGTTATAGAAAGTTTTGCCACATGATAGAAAGGGAGCGATCGTCTTCTCGAAGGCCGGTAAAATGCCCACGCGTGTGAGAGAGACGACTAATTGCTCAATTTAACTCCTTTTTTATGACAGCAGTATCGCTAAGGTTACGAGATCATGTAGAATACTTTTTTATATTTTTTTTATAAAAAGAGTATTAACAATGCTATAAACATTACTAATATTCCTCTTAACCACTCGTGGTAAGCTTAAATTGCTTGTGTCACGAGTGGTTCACGCCAGTAGTAGAATGGTGGATTCGAACCCACGGCCTTTTTGAGTTCGCGGTCCGCGCCCTGCCATTAGGATACTGTCGCTTGTGAACTTGTATCGTATGTGAACAAAGGAACGCGCGGGAAATTTGAAATAGTTTGAAACAGTTTACGAGTTATTTTATTACTTTACTTTACTTATCTTCACGCACAATCCCTAACGGGGTAGCCAGAGAGAACAGATCGCCAAGTGTCACGATCCTTACATACCTTTTTCGCTTCTTTCAGGTTCATTATCTTCTTCATACATGCACGTCTAGGTATCCGAGTACTCTTGACCTTCCCCTCTTCGAGCAATTTGCTCACATGGTCTTCGAAAGTTAGTCTCGGTCTACCTCGACACCTTTTAATATTTACTTTCGCGCTATATATTTTCTTCACCATTCGGTCTTCACTCATTCGTTCAACGTGCCCAAACCATTGGAGTACGCCCCTATCAATTTTTGTGATAAGGTCATCTTTCAATCCTGCCATATTGCGAATCTCTTCGTTTCGCTTTCGGTCGGCTATGGTAACGCCACACATTTTACGAAGAGATCGCATCTCCACTTGCATTCAACTTGCTTTTATGCTTCTTCTGGCATACCCAGGTTTCGCTGCCATATAACAAAGTCGGTACCAACACTGCATTATGTATTGCAAGGCGTGCACTCTTCACCACGCCTTGCCTTTTTTACTAATGCATTCAGGGCACCATTGACTTTGTTTCCGGCAGCGACACGCCTATCCACATCTAAATCACATCTTCCATCCCGGCTGAAAGCACTCCCCAAGTATACAATTTCATTTACCTGTTCTAGACATTTATTAGAGTTATTTTATTAGTTGATATTATTGATTGAGTAGTTTGATAGGACAATCCCGGCTTCTCGGATTCTATGGATGCTTCGCCACTGGACGAGTCACTGAATTTACCAAAAGCTCCAATATCAACCATAACAAATTTGTAATTACTATCGCATATTGCTAACAAAACCAAACAAAAAATCTTTAAAGCACATCGAGCCATTGTTATTAGGTGCAATACATCGTATGTGCTTGCCTTCAATAGCACCTAAGAAATGAGAAAAAGCTGTTTGAAAAAAATAATTGGCAATTTTTGTTCAAGCGTCTTTGTTTGGGTTAGGCAAACAAATATCTTTTAGACAAAACCAAACTGCAAAATAAACTTTTCGTACGATTTCTGCCACAGTGCTTACTCCAATTTTGAATGTATAATGTAGTTCCGTCAATGTCACACCTTTTGCAAAATATCTGAAACAAACATTTTATTATTATTAAATGCTTTATTAAATACATTTATGTATATATATCCCGAAAACGTGTTTTTTTTTGCTTTTCACATAATTCGATTTGTTCGCATATAAGAAACGGATCCCCTCTATTTTTTGATAACCTAATATTATTGGATACCTAAATT